CACAAAATGAAGTTAAAATGAGAGAATCGTTAACACCTGTCATGTGCACTTTAAAGAGTTAAAGGGGCGAAGGAGGGAGGGTGTGTGAAATTTAGAACAGGTGAATGTGTGTAGACTACAGAGATGTAAAGCATTAACTAAACATTACTTAAAAGCAGTACATACAGTGCTTTTCTGTCATACTGGCGCCCATAACTACAGATCAACTCATATCACTGCAAAAAGCTAAATGGAGGTGAGTTCAAAAGACTTAAAGCTGCATTGTGTCACTTTTCTGGTGGAGGGTCTGTCAAATGTTTTTCTCCATGGAGATGTTATTACTTTGTCTGGAATGTTTCACAGTATGGCATTAAACTTTTCTATCTTCATGGAGACTAAACCAGACCAAGTTACAGGTCAGATCTGTGGAGAGGCGACCCCGCTCACAGTCAGAATGTTTGTTTTTCTAATTATTAACTAAAAAAAAAAAAAAAATTGTAATTTCATAAATGTAAGGTAGAGCTGTTTAAAGTCACACTGTGGAACATTCCAGACTGAGCAATGACATCTCCATAGAAACAAGCAGGTGACGGATCCTCCATCAGGAAAGTTATACAATGCACTTTTAAGTTAGAGCATTTAACTTTATTTGGTTAGATTCAACTTGAAGTGAAATGATAAACCAATGGAATATGTGTGTTTTCTTAATTCAAGCAACATTCGATTTTGTTTCTAAAAGAACCTAATAACATAAATTATTGGAAGACCAAATGAACCTGATTGGACTGATATTTTACTTGTTAAGAGAAATTTACTCAAATCATGATAAAAAAAAGTTCTTAATTCAAGTTGTCTTATCAGGGCACGATTTTATGTTTTTGGAGTGTGTGTTTTTTCATGGTCGATGCAGATTGTTCAGAATCTATCAATGGCAGATTTTTTCTGGTGGGTACAGGGCTATTTTTTGTACTTTACCCCAAATGATCATATTTAAATGTGACTCAGACTCACCCACAGTAACGTAAAAAAAAAAACCCTCACCCCTTAAAGAGAGCTATGCACAAACATGTTGTTATCTGCTTTTGTTTGTGTGTACTCTGTGTGCAGCAGCTGAACCACAACAAAATGTGCGTCTGTCCTGGAGATTTAAGGACGATTGCTGATCAGGGAAATGATACAGTCCATCTCTACTATACACATAACAGATTTAAAGGGGCATTGTGTAACTTTTCTAGTGGAGAGTCCATCAAATGCTTTTCTCTATGGAGATCTTATTACTATAATGTTTCACAGTATGACATTAAACCTTTCTGTCTTCATGGAAACCAAACCAGACCAAGTTACAGGTCAGATCTGTGGAAAGGCAACTCCGCTCACAGTCACAATGCCTGTTTTTTGAACAATAAAACTAGCTGTAATTGAATAAATGTAAAGTAGGGTTGTGGAACATTCCAATCAGAGCAATGGCATCTCCATAGAAACAAGCAGGTGATGAACCCCCAACCGAAAATATATATATATAGTGCACCTTTAATATGAGCAAAGAAGGAAGCTATACTTTTAAATTAGAATCATTTGCTCAAAAAATGTTAAGAATTCACATTAAATTGAGAACTGGGTCAAAATGATTATGATTTAGTTCAGCCAAAGGTACATCATCAAATTCATCATATTAAAAGACTCATTTTATGCTATTTTCTGATCTATGTTCTAATGTCATTTGTTCATCACAAACAGACCTGGAGTTGTGTTTTTTTTTCACAGGTATTTAACCCACAAACCCTGAAAACGCTCTGTTCCACTGATGTCATGCAGTAATACAGGAAGTGCTCCAGTGTGTGTTTTAAAATCCATACACGTTCACTAGAATCATTTGGATGATTTCAACCCTGGAATTGACAAAATCTCGACTGAACTAAAAGTAAAATGCAGCTGTTAACTTGAAAATTACCAGTTCATAACCAGCCCTGGCCTGCACACACACTTCCTCAATTTGTGCTGGACAGGGTCTAATACAGGCATGTCCAAACTATGGCCCGTGGGCCAAATGCAGCCCTCAGACAAATTTTTCTTGGCCCTCAGGCTTCCAGGAGAATTGGCCCAAATTACTTTGCATCGATTAAAAATGAACTTTTTACTGCATTTTTTTTTTTTTATCTACTTTGACAAAGTTAATATTGAATATTTATTGTGTGGTTTTAAGGATTGTAGTATGAATAAAGACTGAGGGCTCATTCTAATATTTTGTACTCAGCTCCAGTCTACGGCCCTCGATCAAACCTCTGCTTCATCTGTGTTTAGATATGTGGCCCTTGATGAAAAAAGTTTGGACACCCCTGCTCTAATACAACTGAAGATTATACACAGACTCCACTGGTCTAAACTCAAATTAATTAAGGTGTACCCTGATGTAGAAACTTTGTGTACACGTTGTAAACAGGCCCCAGCCTCTTTGTTACGCATGTTCTGGAGATGCTCTCAGATGTTAAATTTCTGGTCAAATATTTTTCTAATACTGTCAAAAGTTCTAAACAAACATACTGATTTGAATCCCCTTACAGCACTACTTGGATAATAGACTCAAAAGTTGTTTTAAAAAAAACGTGTGTGTCAGGTGTTACAATTGACCTGTCTGCTTGCATGAAGACTGATTTTATTGAAATAGAAGCAAAGCCTCCCTCACATGTGAACTGGTTCAGAGATGTTTTGATGCATTTGGATCTAGAGAAAATTAGATCCTCTTTGCAGGGTCAGGAAGATAAATTGAAAAGGAAATCGTCACGTTTTGTTAGCTTATTTAAAGAAGGTACCTAAACTTCTATTTAATTCTGAGTTATATGATGGTCTTTGTAATATCCACCTTTTCAACTTATATACTTTGGTGAAGAATTATTATTATTATTACAGAAACTTTACAAGAAGAACTTGTGAAGGAAAAGGCGGAAAACTGTGTGAAAAGTTTAGTTTAAACGTGACAATACAGAGTTTTATCATTATTTATTATTTTCTTATTGTCTGCAGGAATGTTCAGTTGATTGTATTTTTGTTTTGTTTTTATTATTACTATCATCTAATACACAATATTTATAATCTATAACAGTCCCAAGACATTATATTGGCAAATATAATCTCATGTATGTGCTTGTACATTTTGCTGGAAATGTTTTTGACTGATGTCTTATTTTAGGGACTGTCACTGTGTATTAAATGTCAAAAAGACAATAAACTTCATGACATCACAAGGTGGAACAGAACATTTTGAGCTTTGGAAATGCAGACAGATTTATATTGAAGAGTTACTCAAACAAACAAATGAAACAAAACACAAATGCACGTATGTTTTAGAGGAGGTAACAACATTCTAACATGGCTTAAAGCTCACAAGAGTCAATTTTAGGTAATTTGAGACTTTTAAATGTTACGATACAGTGTTAGAAGGATGATTTTAGGCCAAAAACATGAAAAAAATCACATTAAATGAGTTGAAAATTCTCCAAAACTACAGCTCTATGTTAGCTGATTACCACAGATTCTGTTCTGGGAGCCAGTATAAGCAGAGCACAGTGTAATAAAACCATGTGTTCCCTTTATCCATGTACTAATAAAGTGCTTCCTTTGACATTCATAATCGTTAAGGCATCAAGGCATTAAGATCTGCTCCTGTCTCCTCCTGTGTAAAGTCCCCACAGTCGCTACGGTTACATGCACATTCAGATTTCTCCAGAAGACTCCACCGTTATCCAAGTACAGTCTGCCATCTCCAGTTGTGCGACTCAGGTACGTTCAATTTTGAAATCCAGTTAAAGATGTATTACGCAACCTTTCTGTAACAATAACATCATTGCTTTGTCTCGAATGTTCCACAGTATGGCATTATACTTGTCTCCTCATGAACACAAACAATTAATGCCACTAGACCAAATCAAACGTCAGCTCTGTGGAGAGGCAATTCCACTCACAGTGAGATAATCAAGTTAATCAAGTAATTTTATTTTATTTTTATTTTTTTTGAAGTTTCTGAATGATAAAAATTAGGACCGTTGCCATAGTGACACTACAGCAACAAAATATTTTATCTTATGAGTGGGAAAAGGTCTGTACAACAGGGAGCTGAAACCCAGAAATAAAAACATCTGTGATAGAAAGAAATAAAAATAGAAGTTTAATACCACATTGCCTTCCAGACAAAGCAACAACATCACAAGCAGATGGCAAACCCTTTACCAAAAAAGTTACATATTTTGACTTTAAGGGGCACTTATTATGCAATTTTATGGCTTTAACTTCCTTTAAAACATGCTTTGGTTACCTACGATAAGTTTTCTTCTCAAAATAATGTCAACATTTGGAAAATATACTTTATAATCTACACTGTTTACAATGAGGTATTTTGGCCAGGGAAGACCAAGGACACACCAGAGGGACTGTGTGGCCTGGGCACACCTTGGGGTCCACCTGGAGGAGCTGGAGAAAGTGTCTGGGGTGAGGGAAGTCTGGGAGTCCTTGCCGGCCCCGGATAAGTGAAAGAAAATGGACAGATGACATTTTGGCCCTTAAAAACATGAATGCTATACTAATATACTAGTTTGTTGTGAACACAGATTGACTGTAGAATGAGTTTATGGACTTAAAAATAGTGCTGGACAAGTCTGTTTTTCTACCTGTGATGCAACAATCCTGGCAAAGTATTTTACGTGCTCAAAGAAGATGACTTTGAGTTCATGAAACCTGAGTGAATTAAACAAAATACAACTCTAGGTATGTTTCTGAAGAGGTGGTCAGTGTTATGGTGGTGAATTTTGCATAACATGTGTCCTTTAAAATTTGGAGTAGTCATTTTGTTTTCTTTTTCTTCCTCAGAGTGCATGTAACCGTAGCGACCACCCCCTCCCCTCCCACTGTCAGTCCGCCTCGCCCCAGTCCACCTCGGGCTCGTCATCCAGCCTCAGGATCAGGTAGGAGAGCAGCTGGAACAGGTTCTGCCACAGGAGCAGAGCCACGTAAAAGTAAATGTCGCTTACATCGATTTCGCAGACATCTCCGGCGTAGCTCATGTCACACACACACGAGAACCTGTTGATGAGGTTTCTGCAGTATCCTCCATTTAAACAGGGGTTTGACCTGCACTCGTCCAGCTCCTGCTCACACCTGTGCACAGACATCAGGGGGCGGGGTTTAGCACTGGTGGAAAAAGAGTCCTAAATATTTATTCAATGAGACAGGGACAGTGCACACTTTACATTAGTCTTACCAGGAGAGATGTTTGTACCAGGTTGTAGCACCAGTGATAATTTTCATGTGTCGTCCCTGAGCAGGTTCATTGATTGATTGTATTTAATTGACCTTGGCTCAACTGTTCTTCCTGGAGACCTGTAGCATGTTTTGGGTTTGATTGAACTGTGGAAACCCATCCAGACCTGAAACCTTCTTGCAGTGAGGCATAAGTGCTAGCCACTGAGCCACCATACCGCCGTACTGAAAATTTGTTCTTGAGTAAAAGTACAGTTACATGGCTGTAAACTTGATAAGGACGAACTGACACTACACTTTTAGAACCAAGCTGAGCTCAAGCAGGATCGCAGAGGATTCTGTGGGCCACACTCACACCTGTACAACCAAACCACAGTCTGAGGACGCCATCATCCAGCCTGTTTGTTTATGTCGTTGAATTCTAACCATGGAAGGATAATTAGATGTGAAAGTTGAATCTGTAGGTTTTCAATGACCTGTGGCGCACTTCTGCATTACTTCCTGAATATTGACCTTACACTGCCAAAAGTGTGATGTCAGAAATGACCAGTTCTGACTAAGGGTGTAACGATATCCAAGTCTCATGATACGATATCGACACGGTATGAACCTCACAATACGATATTTATTGCGATATCGTGGGAAAGCTCACGATATGATGGCGAGACTCACAATTAGGGATGCAACAATTTACAAATCTCTCTGTACGATGTTTTCATGATAAACATCTCACAGTACGATATTTATTGTGATATTTTATGGAGGCTAACAAAACTGTGAATCAGACTTAAAAGTGCTAGAACTGTTATTTCTTGTACTTATACTGAAATGGAGCAAACGATCATGGCCTATGTAGTTCCCTCTACTCTTCTTCTCTCTTCTCTTCTCTCACTCAAAACATGCTCCAGGTCTCCACAAACAGTTGATAGTCATGGTCAGTTAAAGACAGTCAATTCAATCATTGTGTCCTTAGGCAAGACACTTCACCCACTGCCTAGTATGAAAAGTGGTGTGTGTGTGTGTGTGTGTGTGTGTGTGTGTGTGTGTGTGTGTGTGTGTGTGTGTGTGTGTGTGTGTGTGTGTGTGTGTGTGTGTGTGTGTGTGTGTGTGTGTGTGTGTGTGTGTGTGTGAGTGATGGTGGTGGTCGGAGGGACCGATGGCACCGAGTGGCATGGCAGCCGCGCCTCCGTCAGTGTGCCCCAGGGCAGCTGTGGCTACAATAGTAGTTTATCATCACCAGGGTATAGAGTGAATGAATAATGCTGAATGAATAATGCTGTGTAAAGCGTCTTTGGGGACAGAAAATGTCTGTGAAAGTGCTATATAAATAAAGACTTACTTACTAACTTCTCTTTTAGCTGTTGCTGCATCATAACTCTTCATTTAAGAAAGAAACTTGTATTCGATATATTGTGATGGTCCACGATATTATTGTGAGAACTTTAATGATACGATATCATAATATTTTGGTTATTGTTACATCCCTAGTTCTGATTAATCAGAGCGCTGGAAGCAGGTGTGAGCTCAGAGCGGGGCTAGGCTAACTTTGTGCTTTGAAGATTTAAACATTCTAAAAAGTTCATATTGTAATAACACAGAAGGATCCTCACGAAACCCGACCTTTGTGAAAGCTGGATGCCCTGTCAGAACACGGGCAGTTTGATTTCATAATAAAATGCATTTTGTTCTTTGGTGAGGTCAAATACACAAACCCTCTGTTACATTGTGCTTTATGGGACAATTACTTTTGGGCCGGAGCTCTCGGGAGCTGCAGGACCTGGGGCAGCCTCTAATCGTTCTCGCTCACGCACAGAGGTGGAGTGTCTTATCTACTTCTTATTAAAGATCCATGCTCCTAACGCTCTAGTGGAGAAAATAAGACCAGCGGCAGAAATCTTTCTTCAGAGTATCTTCAGGAATTTAAGACTTTTTAAAGACCTTTTTAAGACCACTTAAATGAAAATTAAGACCAACATCACATCCATTATGTGGTGAAAAACATCAGCTCCAATTCTAATAAAGACCAAACAACTACAGGACTATGTCTAGAATCGAAGAGCCACTGTGGATTAAATTTACACTTGTTTATTCATTGCCACCGGCACCAGAAACCAAAGTACTGTTTGAGCAGACTCCAGATTAGACGTTCATTCATGTTAAGTGATTTCACGCTGTTGTTTTTTTTCCTCCCTTAGTTTAACATCACACTGCAGAGTTGAGTTTACAAAAAATAGGCTAATGAAATTTAAGACCTTTGTGAAAAAAATAAGACTTGGACAACATAATTTAAGACTTTTAAGACCCTAACCCTTAACCCTAACCCTGCCCTGTTTTTAAACGTGAGGCAGAAGTTATGAGTGTGCGTTCATGAGCTCTGTGTCGTGCTTTAGCCCCTCACAGTGTTGGGGAGTAACAGATTACATGTACTGGAGTTACGTAATCAGAGTACAAATTATGAGTAACTGTATTCGGTTACAGTTACTGTTTCAATGACTGGTAATTGGATTACAGTTACTTGGTTGAAATAAATGGATTACATGGTGGTATTTTCCTGTTTTCACATTTCGGGCTAAATCCCCAGGTCTAAACTAGATCTAAACTAGATCTAAACCAGGTCTAAACCAGGACTAAACCAGGACTAAACCAGGACGAAACTAGATCTAAACTAGATTTAAACCAGGTCTTAAACCAGATCTAAACCAGGTCTTAAACCAGGTCTTAACTAGATCTAAACCAGGACTAAACCAGGATTTAACAGGATTAAAACATGCTGCTTGGACGTGTCTCCTCGTCTTCTATCAGTAATATTTTTAATTTGGTTCAGTAAAGTCTGGGCTTTTTATTTTCTTTTAGCAAATAAAACTTCTTATGTTATGATTTCCTCGTCTTTGTTTCTCTACAGCAAATCAAGCAATCCAAAGTATTCAGATTACGTTACTCACTTTAAGTAATTTAATGGATTACGTTACAAACTACATTCTGGGATATGTAATCTGTAATCTGTAGGGGAATACATTTTAAAAGTCACCTTCCCAACACTGGCCCCTCGTCCTCTGAAGGTGAAACCAAAATGAAACATGCTGTGCCTGGTCATGGTTTGTTTAGTGTACTGTACTGTTTGATTCAGGGTTTATGCAAGTATCAACACACCAAAACTAAATCTTGTCAACATTTCATTTTTTGTGCACGTAATTGGATCCCAGTGTCCTCTACCTGTGCCCGGTGAAGCCTGGGGGACAGTCACAGGACAGGTCTCTCTCTGTGCAGTTTCCTCCATTAAAACAGGTGTAGTTCCTCAGATTGTCTCCACACACAGACACTGGCAGTTTGGGACGTCTGAGAGGAGAAAGACAGGAGAGAGGAGAGAGAAGAGAGGAGAGAGGGGAAAGGATTAGAGAGGAGAGAAGAGAGGGACAGGATCACTTTTTATGTCACACAGTTATGTTAAAGATGCATTGTGTAACTTTTCTGGTGAAGGGTTGATCAAATACTTTTCTCCATTTTGATGTTATTGCTTTGTCTGGAATGTTTCACAGTGTGGCATTAAACCTTTCTATCTCCATGGAGACCAAACCAGACCAAGTTACAGTCAGAATGCCATTTTTTTTGTGGGTATGTTTGAGCTAAAGAACAACATCTGTAACTGAATAAATGTAGTTCTTTAAAGTCATACTGTGGAACATTCCTGGCAGAGCAATGACATGTCCACAGAAACAAGCAGGTGACGGACCCTCAGCCATAAAGTTACATAGTGCAGCTTTATATCATTACACATGGAGGGGTGTGTAGGATTCTACTAATTTGATTGTCATGATTTTTCCTTCTATGGTGTCAATAAATCAGGAGGGAGAAGTGCAGTATGCCCTCTGACCTGAAACTAACAAATCCATGTGTCATCCGTTCATACGTTTTTCAAATAAAACCAAAAATAAGAAAAGGAAAAAACAACTATTTTCTTCATTATTTGTCTCCAAAACCAAAATGAAAAAACGGAAAACGGCCATTTCCTGTTTACGTGATGTAAACTGCAATGCCGGACTGAACCAGGACTGAACCAGGACTGAACCAGGACTGAAATAGGACTGAAACAGTACTAAAACAGGACTAAAACAGGTCTAAAACAGGTCTAAACCAGAACTGAACCAGGACTAACCCAGAAATGAACTAGGACTAAAACAGGACTGATCCCAGGATTAAACCAGGTCTAAACCAGGACTACATCAGGACTAAACCAGGTCTAAGACAGGACTACACCAGGACTAAACCAGGACTAAACTAGGACTAAACCAGGACTAATCTTGGACTTGAGAGAGCAAGACGGGACCCTGAGCCCATGGAGCAGGGTGTCCATAAAGTGCGATCAGGTGTCGACGGCGTTTAGCCCTGTGGGGCATGGAGCTCTGTGCTGGTCCTTTCGCCCGCAGTCACCCGACCCTGGCTCGATTAAAATAACGGTCGAGCAGACCCAACAGTCTATGCAGGTGCACCTCTAGGTCCGTCCTGACACTCCATCCTGGTTCAGTCCTGGTTCAGTCCAGCATCACAGTTTAAGTCACAGAAACAGGAAATGGTCGTTATCTGTTTTTTTCCATTTTTCATTTAAACACAAATTCGAAAACTGAAAAAACAAATCATTATCCATTTTTTCATTTTGGTTTTGGAGACAAATAATAAAGGAAATTGCTGTTTTTTCCTTTTTTTCTTTTTGGTTTTATTTTGAAAAACAAATAAACAAATGACACACGGATTTTAACAGTTCAGTCCCACTCCCACTTGTGCATACTGTTGCTATGCCCTTGAGCAAGGCCTTATCCTCCATTGTACATGTAAACTCATCTATGCATTTTTGTGTGAAGGGTCAAACTAGTGCGAAAAAATATGAGAATATATTTATTTACTAATGAAAATCTGTTTCGTTCATTAACCAAACACTAATTTGACCGTGCCACACTCTACAAGTCTGTTTCTGAAAAATAATGTCCCTTTAATTCACCATTTCCCCCATGTATTTAGGTTAGACACTTGAGACTACAGCTGTCAGTCAGAGCAGAGTAAACAGCCCCAGAGCCAGGGATAATATTAGCTTTGTTTGCCATTTTGTTCCACCAAAAGTACCGACGCAACGGGTGACATTTGAGAGACACATTTCTAAAAACGAAACAAAAAAAAACACAAAAAAAATACTTACACAGTTTTGACAATCATGTACCAAGGTATTTCTCGTATGCGTTCACTGGAGAGAGAGAGCAAAGGCTGGTTAGACAAAGGCGCCAAAACACACCGCGCGATGAAAAGTTGAGATGTTGTGGTAGAGACGCGCGCTCAGCTTGTCTTGTGTGCAGAAAAAAAAAGTTAAAAAGGTGAGTTTTTGGTGTAAATAGTTGGAGGCGTTCCCCTGCTGTGTGCGGAGAGCAAAGGGAGCGTGTGCACAGACATAGGCAGGTGTGTGTAGTGAAGAGTGGAGCAGTATCTGAGGGAGGCTGCGGGCTCTGAGCCGAGGCTTTTACTCATGTCTCTGCTGCAGATGGGTAAATAGTTTGTCTTTCTAAACCGCTTTATATACTCACAACTGAGCACTGGGAGAGGGGGAAGTACTGGGAGAGCGATGTTTTTGGCGTAGGACAGGGCTGGGAGGCAAAGGAAAGAGAATAGAATCACAGTTTTTTCCCTCATTTGATCAGTCGTGATTTTGGCTTCGATATGAAATGATTCTAGTAAAGGTTCTTTTCTTTTCTCATCTTATCAGCCACTGGCTCACCTGGATTCTAAACACTTGTTATCGGCATCGGCCAAGAAAAACAAACATATCGATCGATCTCTATTGAATTATTTAAAAACAAAAAAAGTGTAATGTCTTCCTAAGTCTTCAGTCTGCTCCAAACCACATTAGCTGTAGATGTCTCGATTAAAAACACCCAAGCACATCATTGACCATTAGAAATAACTCAGTCTTGATTAAAATGTTAATAATTCCAAATCCTACTCAAAAATATTCATAATCTTTTAATTTTTTACCGTTTTTGATAGACTCTTCACTACTGATGTAACATTAACCAAATTATTGTGATATCGTATCGTCAAAGTTCTCACAGTAATATCGTGGAGCATCACAATATATCGAATTACAAGTCTCTTTGCTTAAATGAAGAGTTATGGTGCAGCAACAGCTAAAAAAAAACAGACAGAGGGAACTACATAGACCATGATTCTTTGCTCAGAACAGTTCTAACACTTTTAAGTCTTAGTTCTTTGGATTAAGTCTTGTCAGAGGAAAAAGTAGCAGATGAGCCTCCACAAAATATCGCAATAAATATCGTGAGATGTATATCGTGAAAATATCGTACAGAGAGATTTGTAAATTGTTACATCCCTAATCGTGAGCCTCTCCCCATATCGTGAGCTTTCCCACGATATCGCAATAAATATCGTACCGACTATATCATGAGACTTGGATATCGTTACACTCCTACTCTTCACTGACGGCGTCTAAGCTGCTCTCGACATTAAAGTGTAGAAAAACACTTACTCATAATGACGACGTCACAGGGATCAGTTTAGGGATCCACAAACGTAGAGTGAAAAAATCTATTGTAATTCTTATTATTTTATAATTAATATTCTAAAAACCTGTATATTTCAGAATCTGCTTGTAGATATTTCTAAACTCCAGGGTTAGCCCATAAAAACAGACTTACTTTGTAGTTTGCTGAAGAAATTTCATTACCTAATACAGAGTTACAGCCTGTGCAATTCAGTAATTCCAACCATTTAATTTTAATTTGAATGATATTAATAGAGCAGGGGTCATTTCACAGTTCTATTGCTGTTGTTGTATTACCAAGCTCAGCATACTACAGCATACTGAACATTATCACTAGAGATCGACCAATGTGGGGTTTTTTTTTGTTGGTTTTTTTTTCATAACGAAGCCGATACAGAGTGTTTAAAATCCAGATGAACTGATGGCTTGTATTTACCCCAAATTATATCATTTGAATTTATTACAAACAAACTCACAGTTGTGTATTACTATGCAGACAAACTGGATAAGAGAGCTGCAAAGTCATTTTGTGTACTGTTCTCTTTGTAATAATAATGAAATAAAGCTTTATGTGACCTGTGTGAATTTGGCCCCCCATCAAACACAAACCTACGCAAAAACTATTTCAATCAATATTTGTGCCGTTTTGTGCTGCTAAAAGTTTAATTTGTGCTGCTTTAGTCTTGGAGATATTAACAATTCTTTTATAGGTCAAACTGGGATCAGCCCCAGGAAGCTTCAAAATGCTCTGAAATGTCCAAAATGGTGTCATCGGTTTGAGCTGTAAAAAGTTTTGTTTGTGTGATTCTGGTTCTTAAAATATTAACAGTTTTATTTTGGGATGATGACGTCATCCAGCCCCTCAAAATGTGAAACAGCCTCAAAACAGACAGAAATCCTTCCAGAGAAACATTTGTATTTGGTTTGTGCTGCTTTGTGCTGTGACAGTTTTCATTTGTGTTTATTAAAGATTATTTTTGCAGAAATTATATGACATCATTTCCGCGCAGCTGATGTCAGCGGCTTTAACTCCACAAAACCAGTGAAGAGAAACGATCTGTGAAAAAATCTGTATTATTCTATAAAATATGAATCAAAAGCAAGTTACTCAAGACTGATACAGACTTTTCCACAGCCTCAGATCATTTCTCTTCACTGGTTTTGTGGAGTTTTGCTAAAGCCGCTGATATCAACTGAGCGCAAACAATGTCATATAATTTCCGCAAAAATAATAATTAATAATTTTAGAAATATACTTGCACAAATGAAAACAGTCACAGCACAAAACAGCACAAAACAAATACAAATGTTTCGTATAATTTTCTGTTGTTTTGAGACTATTTAACAGGCTGTTGAATAGCCTCAAAACTGTTTCGATCGGCTGGATGACGTCATCATCCCAAAATAAAACTGTGAATATCTTAAAGGTTGTATGGAGGATTTTTTTTTGTTTCAAGTTGTCAATGATAGCATTATAGAGATGCAGTAGCCTTGTAATTATGATGACCAAAAAAAAGAGAATAAAAATTCATCAACTCTGGACATGGTGGGGCTAAACATTTGCCAATAGATAACGACACTGCCTCGTTATCTGTGAGCTGACAGGCTGTCAATCAATCTCCCTACGTTTCTAGTGTAACTGACTTACCTGCGCGCCGCCGGTACGTGGTTTACGTACGACTGTCACGCAGTCCACAGACGCAAGACGCACAGACGCTGTTTACTCCACCAACGCAACAGTTCTTAGCGGCTTTTTTGACCTATATCTTCCTCGCAGTTAACACAAAGTTTGTTGCAATGGCGACAAGAATCCAGGAGCAGTTCGCCGCAAAAGAAAGTCCGTTTTTGAGGTCGCTGAAAGAAGAAGACAAGGGGAAAAGCAGCGAAGCCAAACTAAGGTGATTCTTGAAGATTCATTCCAGCGATGGTGCGACTGAAGCAGACGCAGGGTCTAAAGACTGACGCACTGGTCCACAAATTACTCCTGGACAGGTCACTTCTGCTTATTATGAAAACATACTTTATTTCCAAGAGCTAGTCAAATGTTTTTCAGGACACGAAAGCGATATCCTATGTCTGAAAACGTAATTTTCAAGGCAAAGAAAGAGTCCGCTTGCTGCTGCGTGTTGGAGCTAGTTCATTCGCACGGAATCTCCGCGCAACCTTCTCTGCTCCCCTTTCCTGCTCCTGTCCCCGCTGCCCGTTCCGCTATTCCCCCTGCTCCTCACTTCTCTGGGCACGGAATCTCCGCGCACCGCTCCCCTCTCCTCTCCCTGCTCCCTGCTCCACTCTTCTCCCTGCTCCTCACTTCTCGTCCGCGAACGAAATGTAAGCGCACCCCCTCCCCCCCGCTCCTCACTTCTCCGTCTTGCCTAACCAACACTGTAGTTAGTTGTTTACAAGTCATGTGCAGCGCACCGGCTGTAAACAAACCTGTTTCTGGCGTAAAGAGGAGGCGGGAGGAGGCGTTTCTACGTAGGGAGCTGTAGGGGAGGGGGGGTGGTTTCACGCATGCGCAACATTTGAAAAAGGACAAACAGTCGCTGGATTTCTCGTTCCTTGGAAAATCCTCTATACAACCTTTAAGAACCAGAATCATACAAACCAAACTTTTTACAGACTGACATCATTCTGTGTCATTTTAGAGCATTTTGAGGCTTCCTGGAGCTGACCCTAATTTGATAATTTGACCTATAAAAGAATCATTAAAATCTCCTAACTAAAGTAAAGCAGCACAAACAAAACTTTTTGCAGCCCAAACGATTGACATAGTTTTTGTGTAGGTTTTCGTCTGATGGGGACAACTCATCAGGTCTTTATGTGACTGCTTGAGGCCAATACACTAAAAACTACAAATATGGGCTTGACATATGGGCCTACAGATTTATATATGAGTCTGTCTCTAATTATAACATGTTTAAAGCTCCAAATGTGAAGTAGAAGACTAAAGTAAACCTGTGAGCGTGTTACCTGCAGAATGGTCCTGTGTAGTTGTCTGGACAGAGGCAGGAGTAGGTCTGGGGCCCGTGGAGACATGTCCCTCCATTAGCGCACAGATGATTCTCACACATGTCCACCTCCTCCTCGCAGTCCAATCCCACAAACCCCCAGTCACACGCACACTCATACGACAGTCCCCGCACAGTGCAGTTACCGTGGCGACAGGGGTCCGAGGCGCAGGCGTTAACGAAAAGGTCGCAGCGCCGGCCGGCCCACCCCCCCACGCAGCTGCAGTTAAAATAGTTAAACAAATCCTGACACTGCCCCCCGTTTAGACAAGGATTGGGCTCACACACGGAAGCGCCGCCACAGCCGAGCAGAGGCGCATTCTGGGAGGTCAGGACGAACTGGTCAAGCTGGAGCCGGGGGAGGTTGACGTCGGACGGGGTGATGTAAGGCAACGCGACGCCCGAGAGCTCCACGGTGCTCAGACAACCAGCCAGAGCCCAGCCCGCATCAGGAGTGAGTCCACCTAAGAAAATGTCAACATCTTCTCGCAAAAAGTCCAGGTTTCCAGCTTGCGTTTTGGAAGTGCTTGCCTCTTCTACATCCTCATCCAAAACCAACGTCCAGCGAGAAGTTTGAGTCCAAGGTGTAGCCATGAACAAGTGAACGTTGTGCCATTCTCCATCACTAACTGTTCTCTGACTGCTGAGGCTAACTGTGGATACTCGCCCGCCGTCTGCCGTTGGACACTTTGTCTCCGTCGTCGTTCAGAAGTTCTAAAAACAAATATCCCTCCTGGACGGACAGAGTGATGAAAGAGGAGGCGTTTTCGGCGTGGAGGATGGCGGCGTTGCGTTTCCGTGTTCGCAGATTAAAGGAGAGGCTGGTGATGTTGCGAAGGATTTGGCCGTTTCCTCGGTAAATCAGAACAGTGGAGTCGTTCAGGAAGGTGGCGTTGGAGTAGCCTGAAAGAAAGACACAAACATTACGGTTTCAGATTTCACAACAGTTCATTGGCCTGGACTATTTAAAAGTCCTATATGATGCAAAATGGACTCTTGTGAGCTTTAAACTATGTTATAAGGTACCGTATTTTCCGCACTATTAGGCACTCTGGATTATAAGACGCACTCTCATTAAATGGTCTATTTTTGAACTTTTTTCACAAATAAACCGCATGGGACTTTAAAGGAAACACAGCAGTGTGATGGGTGAGTGGTTTTGTTTGTTTAGTGCGTTCACGGTGACTCTGGGCTTTGTTCAGTTGTGGCGTGTAGGGAGGGTGCTGTCTGGGACCAACGGATTGTCGGCGTGTTCACAGTGACTCAGTTGTTCAGTTATGTCTATAAGTGGCACATTGCACTCGCTTTTTCAGTTCGTTCTTCCGTTCCGTTCCTCATCGGCGTGGAGTGATGAGTGTTTTTGCAGGTGTTTTCGCTTTCGTCTGCTCCGTGTGTGTTTGTGTGTTCTGCGGGTGGTGCGGCTTTGTAGTTTACTGAAGTCGTGCTGGGACACCTGAGTGGATTTGTCTATAAGGTGCTCTTGGATTGTGGGGCGCGCAGTGGTTTTTTGATGGGTTGGAGGCTTAAGAGTGCGCCCAATACTGTGGTAGTTACCTCCTCAAAAAAAAAAAAAAAAGAGCTGTTGTGAGTTGTGAGAGTTGTGTTTTGTTTCATTCACAAGTTTGAGTAACTTTTTATTATTAGTCTGTCTACATCTCCAAAACTCTAAATGGTCAGTTCCACCTTGTGATGTTATGAAGCCATAGTTTCCAAATTAACAGCTCCTTGCCATGTAACAGTCTTGAGTCCGCCCTGGCAGCAGTTGTTGTTCTGTAATGAGTTAATTGGACTGCAGGAGGCGCCGTGACAGATGGTTGTGTGTAGTGTCGTTATAATCCAAGTGAAAAGGATCAGCTGACGGCCTGTGCTCCACATGAGGCTCAAACGGCTCACACCCACAGCATTACATCATCTGTCAACTCTACACAAGAAACTACAGGAAAACCCAGAATAAAACAGCTCTAAAAGAGTTTATGTGGCTAGAAAGTGGAAGCAACAGGTTAAATCTGCAGAGGCCGACAGTATATGGGAATGTAAATGAAAACATATACTGTATTAATATTTTAATTCTATGTTCTATTTGATTCTTCTATTTTATTTTAAATGTGGATATGTTGAGCAAACCTGAGTATGGTAGACTAATTACAACTCCCAAGACCAATTTGGAAAATGCAAATTGAACCTATTTGTGGCCACACCAGTTTGTCAGAGCCTAATCCGTCAGATCTCAGCAGGACTGGGTCTGGTTAGTACTTGGACTGGAGACCACTGGGAAAATCAGGTGCCACAGTGGAGCGCCAGTGGTCGTTGTCACAAGACACTTCACCCACATTGTCTAGTATGGAAGTGGTGTGTGAGTGATGGTGGTCGGAGGGGCCGATGGTGCAGATTGACAGTCTTGCTTCTGTCAGTCTGTCCCAGGGCAGCTGTGGCTAAAATAGTAGCTTATCACCACTGACTGTGGAGTGAATGAATAATGAACTGTTAAGCACTTTGGGTATCTTAAAAGGCGCTATATAAATGCAATGATTCATTAATTAATTATTTGTAAAGCTACAGTATGTAACTTTCTGGAGGTGGTATGCCACTTGCATGATTCCATGGAAACAGAAAGTTTTGTTTTTTTGGGGGGTTAGTAAATCTACCACTATAAACAACCAAAACAAAAAAGAAAAAACTAAACAGAAAACATGCTCATATTTTTGGGCTAAAAGGTTACATACTGTGGCTATTAGGGAAAACATATAATTCAACAAAATTTAAAGAAAAAAAGTATTATTGCTTAGTGGATTTTATGGCTCATTGGGGACACACTTGAAATGTTTGGGAAACTGTATCGACCAGAAACAGTCGATACAGTCGACAATCGATAATTAATGTGTTAAATATATGAGTGTGTTTCAGTTCGTTTGGACAGAGTGGGTTTCCTTACATTCGTATCCTTCTCTGAGCACTCTGCACTCGGCCTCTAGGGGGCAGGGGGCCAGCTCACACCAGCGCACCTCCTCACAGTGTCGTCCTGTGGTACTGGGAGGGCACGAGCAGCTGAAGTCGTCCCACTCAGAGAAGCACATGCCCCCGTTCAGACAGGGGTTTGACTGAGGACACAGAGAAGACAGGGATCATGGTTAAAAACTTCAAGGGGCTGTATTTTTTCAAGTCATAAAGTTTGTTGCCCCAGTACAGATATATTGTAAAAGCAGCTCTTAGCTCAAAGCATTTTTATCAGCTGCAAACCAGGAAGTAATGCTGGTGCACTGTTCGCATGCTAGTTGTTGTTACCGCTGCAGTGAGAACAAAACTCCACATCGGCCTCTGAAAGTTGAGAAAAGTGCATAGATTGTTCACATGGGTGCACTTCTGGCTCTTTCTGGCCCTGGCTCCCATTGACTTCCATTAGAATCCTGTGGCTCCTCTCTCTGTGACTGCTGCTGTGAGCCTCGGCATTTTGGTCTTAAAATGTTTGTATTCATATTAAACCGCTCTGCAAGATCTTGGTGTTTTTATTTCCCTATTTTGTTCATAAATAAATTCCTATTTCTAATTTGGACTCAGCTCCAAATTCACCCCTGTAACTGCTACCTTCTGTGAGCTTTATCTGACTGGAGTTGAACGTTATCAGGATTTCGTCACACTCACTTAGTCCACTTCTGTATACAGTCCCTGACAAAAGTCTTGTCACTTATCCATTTTGTAGAAACAAAAGCTTATAACCTGACTTTAAATTAATCGATTGGTTTTAGAAATGTGTCATATGAAGCTAAAACCCTCCCAAATTATGCTCAATATACTAAAATAAATTTGCTTCACTGAAGAAAGATCGATCATTTAATGAACACAGAAAGGTCAGATTTTGGCAAGACAAAAGTTTTGTCACCTACAGAAAATTGAACAATAATTTACTTCAAATTCAAAAATATGTTGCATAACGTCAGTGAATGAAGTAGTGGTGCTGTGAGATCCATATTTAATATCTTGTATGACTTCCATGAGCTTGAAGGACGCATCCATGCAGTTCGACAATGATTCATACAATTTGTTGATGAAGTCATCAGGAATAGCAAAGAAAGCGTCTTACATGCCTCCCAGAGTTCATCAAGATTCTTTGGTTTTGTCTTCCATGCTTCCTCTTTCATTCTACCTACCCAGACATGCTCAATGATGTTCATGTCTGGTGACTGGACTGGCCAGTCCTGGAGCACCTTGATCTTCTTCACCTTGAGAAACTTTGATGTAGAGATAGAAGTATGCGATGGAGCACCATCCTGCTGCAAAATTTGACCCCTTTTATGGTTGGGAATGTAAGAGGAAGCTAATACCTCTTGATATTTTAGGATATTGATATTGCCTTCCACCCTGCAAATGTCTGGCACAGCCCCATACTGGATGGAACCACAGACCAGGATTTTTCCGCCACCAAACTTAACTGTTTTCTGGGTGAATCTTGGATCCATGCGGGCTCCAGTAGGTCTCCTGCAATATTTGCGGCGGCTGTGATGTAATTCAATCGAGGATTCATCTGAGAAATCCACCTTCTGCCACTTTTTCAGTGTCCATCCTTTTATCAGGCTGTGGGTCTTGACAAATGCCACACGGTTTAATTGCCTTTTGTTTAGTGCCAGTTTCTGTGCACTGATTCGACCATGGAGGCCATTTCGAGATAGAATTCTTCTGGTTGACACAGAGACTTGAGGTGACCAGGCCTGGTGGAGTCTGCTGCAGTGGAAAAGGGGCCTTGGATTTTCGAATCAACAAACGGTCCTCCCGAGCAGTTGTGTTGCGGGGTCTGCCGGACCTGGGCTTGTCAAAAACATCTCCAGTCATTTCAGATCTTTTTCTTATTGTTTGTACTTGACGCTGAGACACATTGAAGGTGTCACCACCTCAGCAGTGGATCTGGTCTTCAGCCTCTTGATAATTAAAGCTTTGGTCTCAGGGTGGATCGTAGGCATGTTGTCAGAGGTCAAGTTGCGGTTGATGTGAAGGTCTGGTGTGCTGGGGGTCTTTTTATACACACCCACTAATTGATTGATCAGTAACTGATAACAGGTGAGGCTGTAATCTAGGATTGGGTGCATCATATGACAAGGCCACAAGACTTGTCTTGCCAAAATCTGACCTTTCTGTGTTCATTAAATGATCAATCTTTCTTCAGTGAAGCAACTTTATTTTAGTATATTGAGCATAATTTGGGAGGGTTTTAGCTTCATATGAGACATTTCTAAAACCAATCGATTAATTTAAAGTCAGGTTATAAACATTTGTTTCTACAAAATGGATAAGCGACAAGACTTCACATTGTGATGTCATGAAGCTATAGTTTTCAGATGTTACCTTTTACTTAGATCAACAATTCCAGAGCTGAAATGATCCAAATCTACTGAAGGTGTGTAGAGTTTAAAAACACAGTGGAGCACTTGTTGTATTACCATATGACATCACAAGGTGGAACAGAGTGTTTTAGTTTACGAGAAGAAAAAAAAACACACAAGTCCAGGTCCAGGGTTGTAAATGGTAAATGGTCACATTTTTCTATAGCGCTTTTCCACCTTCAAGGCACTCAAAGCGCTTTACAACAAGGAACCACTCACCCATTCACACACACATTCACACACCAGTGTACACAGACACTGTGGGCAAGGTGGGTTAAGTGTCTTGCCCAAGGACACAACAACACCAGCCAACCTGTGGGTCAGTGGATCTGACCGCTCAACCTGTGATGTTTTATGTCGAGAGCTGGATTCGAGCCACCAACCTTCAGATCAAATGCTCTACCAACTGAGCTACATGTAACTACATTATTGTGAGTCATGGAGTTGTGGTGCTAATTACCAACATTTATGACCAAAATGAATTAAGTATGAACATGTGCTATGTTTTTTGCTTATTAAGTCAACATTATGCAAAACGTATTCTGATTAACATAATTAGAAATCCCTCTTATTAAGAATTTTAATATTAAACCTGATCATGTCCTATTGCAATCTGGTAAATGTGTCAACCCTGTTCTCAAAGCCAATAGACTCAGGGATTAGACTGTCACACTGCAGAGATTAGACCCCTCCCGTTGTCATTACTTACACTGCATTTGTCATCGCCAGTGCATCCTGCCGTCACATTTTCCAGTTGGAGCAGAGGATATGATTTCACTGAAGTGTCCAAACCAAAAAACTGCAGTCTCTTATCATTTATCTGCAAATCTTGAACACAGCCTTTCAAATTTCCTCCAAAAACATTCAAATCCTCACTCTCCGAAAGCCCCCCGACGTAAACAGTGTCTCCACTTTGGATACCCATAGTCTCAACATCCAGATATCCTTGTTTTTCTCCTTGTATGTACAGGATCATAGTCCCATTCGCCATTTCCAGGTTGATAAAGTGTACTTCCCCATCGTTTATAGCGTTTTTAGACTTGATGATGCCAAAAGGGTGGAGCTGGAAGAGCACCTGGCCTTCCTCTAACCACATGCTGAAGTAGAGCGTGTAGTTCCGGGACAATGCCAGCAGGAGGCAGTGTGTTTTGCGTGTGCGGAGGAAGAGGGAGATGGTCATGTGATCCGTGATATTGTCCGTGATGGTGAAGGTGGCGAAGCTTTGGGAGTCCTCGTGTCCAAAACGTGCGGTCACATGTTCTGCAAAAGTGAAACAGAATGTGAGCATGATTTAGACAAATGAAACTTGAAGAAGACTAATAATAATAATAATTGAAACTATAGTTCTTGCTGTTCAAAACTGCATTATCAGAAAAGCTCTTCATAGTGGCATGTCACCGCAGCAAGAAGCAAATTTTCATTGACGTAGTTTGAATGACCATATCAGGCTTATCAAAAAGGAGGACACCTGGTTCGGGGGCGAAAACTAAATTTGCAAAGTTTGTTATTTGTAACTGGTGAGTTCTGTTGGAGTTTGAATAGAACAGGGGTGGGTCCAAGTCGATGTTTTCCAAGTCTCAAGTAAGTCTCAAATCTTTCACCTCAAGTCTGAGTCAAGTCCCAAGTCAAAGACAAGCAAATCCAAGTCTCGAGTCACTGGCCCATAAGTCCAAGTCAAGTCCAAGTTGTCTGCTTTGAGCTTCAAGTCGTTTCAAGTTTTTAAACCAAAGTACCAAATATAGCTTAGATTTTAGCAATTTATATGAAAGTTAATCTAAACTCTACTCAACTGTCATGGTATGTTTATATATGAGTAGTTGCAGAAACACAATTTTTTCCTTTTTAACTGTCTTGACAAGGTCTTAGTGTGAATCATTACGGTCAGAATTAAGATTTAAAAGTGTTTAATCCCTTAGTCTGCACTGAAATGGGAGGGTTATGTTCTATGTAGTTCCCTCTGTTTTACTGTATTGTACTGTATATTACTGTAGTACATTTACTACTATTATTGATCTTCAAGTCCAAGTCGAGTCCCAAGTCTTAGTCCGTTTTATCAAGTCAAGTCTCAAGTCCTAAAAATAGTGACCTTCAGTGTGTGATATTATGTATATCGGGGGTCTGGGGTCCTCACCGGGGGGATTTTGGGCACTTTACTGTATTTCATTCACAGTCTTAAACCTCTATCAGGATGTCTGAACTCCTGTTTATCCTGGAGTATTTATCCGGAATTTATCTGGAGATACTACTGAGAGGGTCAGACTATTCCCGTGTAATGTGTGTGATGTTATGTGCATCTGAGTTTTTGACACTACAAACTTTTTCATCTGGGATTTATGAACGTATCTCCACTAATATGAGGTCAGCAAATACTGGAGCAGAGTTTATGTCAGGGAGAAGTGTGTTATGATCATCCTGCGTCTTCACAGCAGCTAATATGCCTTCGTAATTCACTTTATGAATGTAGGAGGGTTTTCTGATTATAGGAGCGCTCTGTGCACTCTCAGTGAGAGTGCACGGGAGCGAGGAGAGAGAAAGTAGAGTTCTGCTGGAGAAGAGCCAGTGATTGTGTCCATGGAAGTATAATAAGATTTTATTGTAGATCCATGATTGTAACTGATCAGATGAGCCAAGATTGTCATTTGTTGCCAAAATTAAGATAGGTGTCCCACTCAAAGCTGTCAGCTGGTAGCGAGTAAAAATCCTGGACATTTTGGGCTCATTTAGAAATTCCTCCCAGACATTTTTTTTTTGGGTCCCAAAATGGGGACTTGTCTGAGAAAAAGAGGACATCTGGTCACCCTGGTTTATAGTTGAAAAAGAGCTGAGGCATTTATCTCTAAAACAAGTATGACCTGGAGTCTGATTTTTTGAGTTGTGGGCGGGGATAGAGGGAAGTGGAAACAGGAATTTTCTGAACTTTCACTGAGGGGTGAAGCAGTGTAAACCAAGCTGAAGGTAAATAAATCTAAACCGAGCTGTGCATTACTCAAACATGCACAAAGAAAACAAACACTGTTTCTTTAGAATTAATGTATAGAGAGCTTCAGAAACCTTCTCCTGCAACATCTTAATACAATATTTTTATAATTAGTTTTTTCAACAGTGACCCCCCCCCCCCCCCCCCCCCCCCCCCCCCTTTTTAATGGTATGTTTGTAGATAAAAGACAAGCAAAGGTCCACATAAAGTCACTTACTCGATATTGTGGAGAGAGAAAACAGAATAAATTAGCAGTTGGCTAAAAAGGGATGTAGTTGCTGTGTAGTAATGATGCAGCAGCAGGAGCAGCAGCAGCAGCAGTAGTAATTGTAGTAGTAGTAGTAGTAGTATGCAGTACAGTATGCAGTACAGTATACAGTAAAATACTTCTCAGTGACCCAGTGGCCCTTATAAGATAACATCAGTGGAAAGTTGTGACTCAGCTCTGTAAACATGAGGGTGTCTCAGGTTGCTTTGATTCCATTCTTGCAATGTTCTTTAAAAAAGATTTAATATCCTTAGTTTGACCTTTAATCAGGTCAATCATTCAAATTTTACCATTATAAGTCACACAAAGATAGTGTTCAGATGACACTATTAAATGCAGTATACACATACACAGAGAATTTACATTCCTATAAACACATTTTCTAACCAAGTGATGGTGGACTTTCTATCAGAAAAGTTAAATATTACACCTTTAAGTAATTTCCTATTATTAACCCGCTCTGCAGGATCCTTTAGTTTTTATTTTGCTGTTTTGTCAGTTAAGAAAATCCTATTCATAATACAGAGCTTGGCTCCAAATTCACTCCTGTAACTGGTAGCATCAATGAGCTTCATTTGACTGGAGCTGAACACTGTGGGTGTTTTTTATACACTCTGTGGTACTTTTAAAACCTAAAGTAGGAAAAAACACATAGACCTGAAACTATGGTGTAATTCACCTAAACATTTATCCTGTAACTAAACCCTGCCCCCTGCTGTGTTGACGTACCCTCCTCACAGTCGTGGCCCTCGTAGGGCCGGGCACAGATGCACTGGTAGCTCTGCCACAGGTTCACACACTCTCCTTTATTTTGGCAGGGGGCGTCCAGGCACCGGTCCCTGTGGTGGCACCCGTGCACCAGGTTCACTGCAGAGTTACTGTGCCACTCCTCTGGGATCACCAGCTGCCAGTCCACAAACACGTCTCTGAGGCAGCCCACCAGCCCCGCCCCCCGGTACTGACCCTCCACCACCCCCCCGATGAACGTGCTCTGGGGAGGGGAGATGGGCTGGGCTGGGACCAGCACCGGCGCCACCTGGCGAGAGGAAAGAGAAGATTATTTGGTTAACTGATTATACATGACACAATATGATGATAAAAAATAGAAGAAAAAAAAAGAAAAAAAAAGAGTCTAAAGCCCCTGTTCACACATGAAGCCTAAAACACTGAAGACACTGATTCATGGCCTGGAGTTTAGAAGGTCAGTTGTGTCATTGGGGTCATCAGGTGAGCACCCTCCTTCCTTGATGTTTAGTCACAAGATAAACTGTGACGTAAGAATATGTGAAAATAATTGTTCATATTTTTTATTACAGTATTCACCCTTTGTTTTTCGACAGCACAGCAAACCCATAGGCTTTCTCTCAGTGAGCTTCATGGTGGAGTCCCTGAAATTGTTTCCACAGCTCTGCTACATCAAGGTCAAGAAAGACCAAAGTTGAAAATCAGGGTTCAAAGGGTTCTTTTTTTTTATTTTAAATTTTTTTTATCTAAAACAAGTAATGAGTTTTTTCTGTTTGTTTGCTTCATTCCACATGTGTCACATGTGCCATTTTGACGCCTTCAGTGAGAATGCACAGTGTAAATAATCACAGAAATATAGAAGAAATAAATGAAAAAGTGTGTATGAATCTTTTTGTTGGTCATGTTAATCTTACTATTTAACTAGAATAAACTAGAATATCAGTATATAGTTTGAATTCAGGCAACATTTGTTTACTACAGATGTTAATTAATGTGCAAGTTAAATCATGTTTCTTGATGTCAGAAGTGCACCTTGTGGTAGGTCTGCAGGCCGTAGCTGTGGGGCAGGTCCAGCAGTTTGAGGCTGAGGACCCAGTTTCCCAGCGTGGCCTCCACAGAGTGCCACTGTCCATCAGAGACGCTCTGGGGCAGATCCAACACCTGGACCGGACTCTCCCCTGAGGATTCAGGAAGTTCAGCAGCAGAAGAGTCTTTGGTTAAAATAAGTCTGAGCCGCCCAGAGAGGAGAGAGAGAGTGAGGAGCAAACCCCGAGTGTTCCTCTGAAACAGCACCGCTCTGTGGAGAGACATGGAAGAGTTACTCACTTACATTATAACCAATCGGCTTTAAACACTGGAAAACATGATGACCAAGTTGTTTATGGTGTAATTCTCCAATCAGAAAGCAGAATGAGCCTCTCATTTGGGTTGCCAGGTTCAATGTTGATATCCAGTGTGTGTTTAAACCTAAAATGTCTCTCTGATCTGAATTGTCACTCCCTAAACCCCAGCACCAGTTATTTTCAGTGAACCTGTGCTAGTGCGACCTCTGCAGCTCAGTAAGTGAATTCTGGATCTTTCACTTGCAGCATGGCCTGTCCAAAGATTGTCAGAAGCATTGAAATCTGATTCTTATCAATTACTTAGGAGTGAAACTAGATACTCATCATTTGCTGTCATGTGGTGATACAGAAAGTGCCCTACTGTGCTCCCTTTTACCTTCAGCTCAGTAGACTGGGCAGTTCCAGAGATGAACTTATCCAAATAACTCTAGTGAAGGCGTGTGGACATTGGAGCACTTCCTGTATTTCCACATGACATCACAAGGTTGAACAGCGTGTTTTCTGTTTGAGAGATCTCAGACTAAATCAGTAAGGTATGAATGAAACAAAACAACTCCAGTTCTGTTTGTGATGAGGAAACTACATTAGAACATAAATCACAAAATGACTAATATGTGCCCTTTAAAACATTTCAGAATCAAGTTTGAAATGTTCATATCGTGCCAACATCACTCTGTATGATCCTTACTTGGGCAGCACAGTCTTGAAGCTCAGTGTGACATTCACTGACACTTCGGTCTCCACCAGGGGGCTCTGGAGCAGCAGGTAGCCCCTCCGCTCAAAGGAGAAGGTGGTGGAGGTCTGACACAGGGGCCCCGTGAAGCCAGGGGGGCAGGAGCAGGTGTAGCCGTGGGTCCCGTCCAGGAGGAAGGGGGCACAGCTGCCGTGGTTCTGGCATTTATGACCCTCACACCCGACCAGCCTCTCCTCACAGTTTGCCCCTCCGTAGGGCACTCCGCTGGGGGGGTGTAGTGTGGGGCAGTGGCAGAGGTACTCGCCCACCAGGCTCTCGCAGGTGCCACCGTTCAGACAGGGGCTGGGGGAGCACTGGTCGATCACCTCCTCACACAAAGAACCTGGAGACATACAAGACACATGACACACAGGGAAACAGAAGTGCAGTAGGTTTTAAGATACACTAGACCAGGGGTGTCAAACATACGGCCCGGGGCCCTCCAAGACCTTTAATGTGGCCCTCAGCTGATTTTCTACTAAAATATTTTAATTATATTTTCTATTAAAATATTGTTAATTTTCTGTGGTGTTTATCACAGCAGCGTCTCCAGCGTCTCTGTACGTGGCCCCTCCCACCAGAGCAGCGCAAATGGAGACTTGTCTCTTTCCAAACGCTCTTAAAGGACGATCGTTTTGACTGTTGACCAAAATGTCAAAAATTAGAAAAGTGGAGCCGAGTGCAGGATTTTCCAAGAAAATTTGAATTATTCCTATTTTCATACAAGTTCAGGTTAAAACTTTGTGTTGAAATTGTGTTTTACTTAAAGTGTCAGGTTGTTCATAATATTATAATATTTTGTAAAAGAAAAAGTTTGTCAATTAAAAAAGATTTCTGTAACAGATTTGTGTTTCTCTGCACAAATATTTGAACTTATTGTTATTTTTGGGGTTTATATGACATGAGTTTTCTGATCCGGCCCCTTTGGGATCAAAGTAGGTTGGATACGGCCCCCGGACCAAAATGAGTTTGACCCTCCTGAGATAGAGGGTCCACCAACTGTTCTTCTCACTCCAAGAAGGTCCTGGGGTTGATTCTGGGGCAATGCGGAGTGAGGAGTTTTTATGTTCTCCCAAAGGCATACTTTACTGATCCCTGTGGAGAATATGTCCTCTGCATTTGACCCAACCTTCAGTGTCTTTGAGTTAAACCTGTCAGGAACAGTGGGACCCATCTCCAGATCTTGAGTTGGTCTTGGTCAGGACCGTCTTAGCTGGAGGATTTGACCTTCTGTGTATGTTTTGGGTTGCTGGATGAAACGAGAGGAGACCCACCCAGACACAGGGAGAACATGCAAACTCCACTCAGAAAAGCCCCACACTGCCAAGAATCAAACAGGGGCTTTTGTGTTTCAGGTGAGTGTGCTGCTTAGCCATTGTTTCTCCACAATGAAGCTTTGTTTGTTCAGTCAAGATTACGGGATTTACACGATGTCCAAAAACATAAAATTTTGATAAACTAGTTACACAATGTCTTACACTTAAACCATGTTAGAATGTTGTTTCCTCCTCAAAAACAGACCTGAAGTTGTGTTTTGTTTCATTCACACATGTTCGAGTAACTCTTCATTATTAGTCTGTCAACATCTTCAAAGCTCAAAATGCTCTGCTCCACCTTATGATGTCATGAAGTGGTAAATTTCAAGTTAACACCTCCTTTTCCCTTTTGTTGCATTTCAAAGAACAGCCTAAATATGCAGTTTAACATGTGTGACTGAAAGAAAATAACAACTCCAGGTGTGTTTGTGATGAGGAAACATCAATAGAACAGATCAGAGAAGAGTTTGTTGGTGTAATATGAACCCTTTAAAATGTCCATGTAAAAACTACTAACTTCTAAAATACTCATGTTTTTGATTATATAAACCACCACTACTAAACAAATAATTACAAAAAACAAGACAATACTGCCTCTAATTCACATTCATAAACCCGAACGTTCAAAGTAATTAAACAGATGAAGTTGTGTTTACTATAGGTTTTACAACTAATCCTATTAACTTCATTATGTCAAGCTACTTCAAGAAGTATTCTTTTTGAGTCATTTCAACTAATATTTCTTGATTAAAGGGGTATAGGTATAGGGGGATTTTGGGTATAAGTGAGCGTAACTTAAAAACATAGAACTTAGTAGAATTAAGTAATTAAAAAAAATATGTAATATGTGTATAATGTACTATATGTGTACTATAATGTGCCATGTATGTATATGTATATGTATATGTATTATATCATATTGATTAGTAAATCCCCTGACTTTCACATGGGGGACATGGGTTTAAATTCCCCTCCTAGGGTGTGTATAATCTAATATCATGTGTTTATAGTATAATAGATATAGTATAATATATGTATACTATAATGTGTATAAGTTACTGTGTGTAGTTTGCATTCATCTTGGGAGCTCAAATTGTAAATCTCCTGACTTTCACATGGGGGACCTAGGTTCAAATCCCCCTCCTACAGTGTGTTTAATGTGTATGTGCTATGATGTGTCTATATGTGTACTATAATGTGTGTAGATACAGATGGATGTACTGGATTGTGTGTACAATGTGTGTACAAAATCATGAACTACAAACAAAACAGATTATTCCAGTGGTTTGAAAACTTGAACTGCAAATATTTGAGTTGAGCTGAATGAGCACTTTTAATCCAGCTGTTATCAAAAGGTACAAATAGCAAGTTGAACCTTTTAAGTTCTGGAAGACTGTGATTTTTAAGTTCATCAACTTAAAATAATTGAGACAATCGATTTCCTCAGTTATTCTGAGTTCTGGTAACTTCTTCATGTTTACAGTGTATGCTACATTGTGTAACTTTTCTGGTGGAGGGTCTGTCAAATGCTTTTCTCCATTGTGATGCTTTGTCTGGAATGTTTCACAGTATGGCTTTAAACCTTTCTATCTTCATGGAGACCAAACGAGACCAAGTTACAGGTCAGATCTGTGGAGAGGCGACCCCGCTCACAGTCAGAATGTCTGTTTTTCGAGGTATTTTTAGACATAAAACCATCTGTAATTGAATAAATATAAAGTAGAGCTGTTTAATGTCACACTGTGGAACATTCTAGAAAAAGCAATGACATCTCCATAGAAACAAGCAGGTGTCAAACCCTCAACCAAAAAGTTACACAATGTATCTTTAAAGGACATATACAGTATAACTAACACAGGCACACAGCTCTCTCACAAATACACACAACTTACTTAAAACTGCATTGTGTAACTTTTTGGTTGGGGGTCTGTCACCTGCTTGTTTCTATGGATTTGTCATTGCTCTGTCTGGAATGTTCCACAGTGTGACATTAAACAGCTCTACTTTACATGTATTCAATTACAGGTGGTTTTGCAGCTCAAAAATCTAGAAAAACAAACACTGTGACTGTGAGCGGGGTCGCCTCTCCACAGATCTGACCTGGAACTTGGTCTGGTTTGGTCTCCATGATGATAGAAAGGTTTAATGCCATACTGCGAAATATTCCAGCCAAAGCAGTAACATCTCCATGGAGAAAAGCATTTGACAGACCCCCCACCAAAAAAGTTACACAATGCAGCTTTAAAACCTAAACCCTATTACACTGTTACCTTTCCCAAGTAACACAATCCCGAGAATCCACACAACAGCGTTCCTCATCATGGCTCGTCGTGTTCCAGCAGAGCACACCTGGAGATGACCCTGTGCACCATATTAATGAGAGTGTCTCCGGACCATAGCAGACAGTGTATATGCCCCCCGCGCTGGAGCGATGCAGTGGAATAGCTGTAGTCAGGAGACTGGCAAAGCAGATCTCGGGGGATTAGCTTAATGCTATTTGAGACCTTAGCTACTCTATGGAGCGGGACCGGCTGTTTGTGTCCACAGGCCCGTGCAACCTGTGGATCAACTCTTATGTAAGCACCTAACACACACTTGATGTCATTTACAGCACTTTTTATTCTATTATATTGCAATAACGATATTTCCATAATTCATTTTTACACATGTATTTTATTATGTCTTATTTGTCTCTTGATCTTTTTGCTACTTATTTTGAATTTACAGTATTATTATCATTTATGTTTTTTTCCTTTTTGTTATTATAATATATTATGATGTGTCCAAATCATTTCACTTGTGGATTAATAAGTTTAAGTCTGTATCTTTTAGGGTTGCAACAATAACCACAATATCATTTAGGCTGGGAGCCAGGTTCATCCCTCAGGATGTTTTTTGCTCCTTTTTTTCACTATTATTTCCTGTTATATTATATCTTGGGCCATCACGAGTTGATAGGGACCAGCCCCAACTCAGCCCTGTTTGGTCTCAGAGCCCAAAAACACACTTTTTGGGAAAAGCTAAAACTTGTAACTTTAAATATGAAGGTACTGAAACTGCATACAGTACATGGTCAAATAACCCTAAAATTTGACATGGTGTATCCTGACACATGGGAGAAATTTGGCAGAAAAATATTTTGGGGCTTGCTGCCTTTCTACTGTCAAATATCACCTTCAATATATCCTAAAAGACCAAAAAATGTCTGTCTGCCTGACAAATTGTCAGTAAAAGTGATCATTTTCAAGCATTTTATTGCATATATCACTGCATCAAATGTACTTGAAAAACTTCCCAAGTTTATAAGCTTCAATTTAAGCCCAAGATGACCTTTGTACCTAGAGGAAACAGCTGCTATGACCAAACTTCTTCACTGTACCTCAAATCAGCAGGAGACAGAACTTTCAGGCATTACCATTTCATCTAGGATTAAGCAGGATTTTTTCATAGAAACAACATATGAAAAGAGTTGACTTATGTACTGCTGTACTATATGAAGTGAATTACATTAAAAGTAATAATATTGTATTGTTAAAAGCCTCACAATAATATCGGAGACCATCACAATATATCGAATTACAAGTCTCTTTGCTTAAAGTAATATTTAGATGATTCTATAATGCTAATTCTAATTTCTTTGTGATTTGAATGTCTTTATTATTCTGTAAAGCACTTTGTATTATTTTGTGTAAGAACTGGGTTATAAAAATAAAGTTGCCTCGCCATGGTGCAGCAACAGCTAAAAAACAGAGGGAACTACATAGACCATGATCCTTTGGTGTTGTCAGTGCAACTACATTCATTAATAAATCAATTTGTTAATGGAGAAATAACAGTTTTTAAGCACTTTGTAATCTTAATTCTTCATATTATTACAGGACCAAAACTTTTAAAAGGAAAAGTAGCAATTTCTCAGTTTTATAAACCTCCACAAAATATCTAAATAAATATCGAACCATGAGATGCATATCGTGAAAATATCGTATTGAGGATTTTGATATCGTCACATCTCTAGTTGTTCCTTTGCTTAAAAGCAGTTTTTATTGAAACAACAGCTTATGAACATAGAGAACTACATGTCCCATGATTCATTTCAGTGCAGCAACATGAAGAAATATGTTTTTACTTGAATTTTTGGGATTATGACGGATCATGATAATATCGTATTAAGGGATTTTGATATTGTCATATCCCTAAAATCTTTTAGTATCTCACAGGGATGTAACAACAACCGAAATATCATGATATCGTGTCGTCAAAAGTCTCACAGTAATATCGTGGGCTGTCAGAATATATCGAAACACAAGTTCCTTTGCTTAAATGCAGGTTTTATAGAAGCAACAGCTTATGAACATAGAGAACTACATGTCCCATGATTCATTTCAACGCAGACAACATGAAGAAATATGTTTTTTTACTAGAATTTTTTTGGGATTATGACTGAAATAATTCACACCAAAATCTTGTCAAGGAATTTTAAAAGCAAAAAAGTGTCCAATCTATAATTATATCAGCCTCTTCAAAATATCACAATAAATATCGTATCATCAGATGCACATCGTGATAATATCGGACAGAAAGATTTGGATATCGTTACATCTCTGATTATTCTTCTAGTAAATGCAGAGGCAGTTTGGTGGGTCTCCTTCAGTTGAATGCATTTTACAGTCATAATAGTAAATAACATGAATAATAATTATTCATATTTATTATACAATATTTAGGCAATTCAAAAGTCTGAGGTTGCCAGCAGAGGGCGCTGTACAGACTGCTGAGAGCTACTGGTTACAAAGCTCAGCAGTGACCACAGACCACTTCAGCAGCAAATTTAACATTTATTCTCCTCATACTTGATTTTCCAAAAATAAATAAATAAATAAATAAAATAAATACATTTTTTAAAAGTAAATTTAATTTAGTTTAGTTTTAAATTTGAATGTATTTTTTGGACTGAAAAACATTAGTAACAATAATTATCCCGTAGTTGTTTAGCCTGTGTTGTGCCTTTAAATTCTTCAGATCAGAATTTAGAATTTTTGAAAGTGCAGGCTTTTGGTAAAGGAGTATGGACATTAAAAACACAATGTAGCACTTCCTGCAGAAGAAAGGAACCATCTCATGACATCAGCGGGTGGAACAGACATGTTTGGAATTCTTAAATGTGTGTGAATGAAACAAAACACAATTGGATGTCCTAATGTTTTCATGATGATGCCTTTTTCCAGACTACAGCCTCTTTAAATGCAGAGGATTTACCTTTGGTTCCTTTGGGGCAGCTGCAGATGAACCCCTCGGCGTTTTGTGGGTCAAAGGTTAAAGGTAACAAAGGCTCACTGCCATATAGGACCTGCCATGACCTCTCCACACAGCGTCCGCCGTGCAGACAGGGGGCGCTAGAACACTCAGGGATGTCCAGCTCACAGTGACGCCCTTCAAAGCCTGAAACAGCAGAAGGTCGGGGCTTTTTAATGAATTTTTTTATTTGTTAAAAATGATGATGCACACTGGGATTGAATGTGTGAGTAATCTTGTATCTGAGGGTTTAGGGCTCACAAAATTCTTATTTTCACCTTCCCCCACTCATGTAGCTGTGATAGTGTGAAACTAGCATCATGCACATTTTCACAGGGTAAAAAATATTGCATAAACAGTTTTCTAGTCGATAGTCGAACCTCGGATTCAGGAGGAGCAGTGTGGTTTTCGTCCTGGCCGTGGAACACTGGACCAGCTCTACACTCTCCATCGGGTGCTCGAGGGTTCATGGGAGTTTGCCCAACCAGTCCACATGTGTTTTGTGGATCTGGAGAAGGCATTTGACTGTGTCCCTCGTGGTGTCCTGTGGGGGGTGCTCTGGGAGTATGGGGTCCGGGGTCCTTTGCTAAGGGCTGTCCGGTCCCTGTATGACCGGAGCAGGAGCTGTGTTCGTTGCCGGCAGTAAGTCAGACCTGTTCCCGGTGCATGTTGGACTCCGCCAGGGCTGCCCTTTGTCACCGGTTCTGTTCATTGTATTTATGGACAGAATTTCTAGGCGCAGTCAGGGGCCGGAGGGGGTCCGGTTTGGGGACCACAGGATTTCATCTCTGCTGTTTGCAGATGATGTTGTCCTGTTGGCTTCATCGAACCAGGACCTGCAATGTGCACTGGGGCGGTTTGCAGCCGAGTGTGAAGCGGCTGGGATGAAGATCAGCTCTTCTAAGTCCGAGGCCATGGTTCTCGACCGGAAAAAGGTGGCTTGCCCTCTCCGGGTGGGTGGAGAGTCTTTGCCTCAAGTGGAGGAGTTCAAGTATCTCGGGGTCTTGTTCACGAGTGAGGGGAGGACGGAACGTGAGATTGACAGGCGGATCGGTGCAGCTTCGGCAGTGATGCGGTCGCTGTATCGGACTGTTGTGGTGAAGAGGGAGCTGAGTCGAAAGGCGAAGCTCTCGATTTACCGGTCAGTCTTCGTTCCTACTCTCACCTATGGTCATGAGCTCTGGGTAGTGACCGAAAGGACGAGATCGCGGATACAAGCGCTCGAAATGAGTTTCCTCCGCAGGGTGGCTGGGCGCTCCCTTAGAGATAGGGTGAGGAGCTCAGTCACACGGGAGGAGCTCGGAGTAGAGCCGCTGCTCTCCACGTCGAGAGGAGCCAGTTGAGGTGGCTCGGGCATCTGTTCCGGATGCCTCCTGGGCGCCTCCCTCGGGAGGTGTTCCGGCATGTCCCGCCGGGAGGCCCCGGGGAAGACCAGGACACGCTGGAGGGACTATGTCTCTCGGCTGGCCTGGGAACGCCTCGGGTCCCCCGGAGGAGCTGGAGGACGTGTCTGGGGTGAAGGAAGTCTGGGAGTCCCTGCTTAGGCTGCTCCCCCCGCGACCCGGCCCCGGATAAGCGGACGAAAATGGATGGATGGATGGACAGTTTTCAAAAATAATGCATAAATAAAAAATTTTATTAAATAAAAAAACATTATATTATCAAGCCAGTTGAGATTAACTTTTCTTTTCATGTGTTCGTTAAATGACTGTATGTCTGTATAATATATATATATATATATATATATATATATATATATATATATATATATATATAAACATATTTGAACTTGTAATAGAGAATGGTTTGTGCTCGTGCTGTGGTTTCCTCACCTCTCCAGCACTGACAGCTGTAGTTCCCTGGAGTGTCCTGGCAGAGGGCGCTGTTGAAGCAGGGCTGAGAGTGGCAGGAGGAGAGGGGGATGTCACAGTGTTCTCCAGTGAAGGCTGTGCCTGAGCACTCACACCTGTATCTGACAAATACACAACAGTCAGATAAATATACTGTTATGGAGCAGGGCTCAGGGGTTTCAGAGGGATGAGGACTGTTGCCATAGCAATTAACAATTCAAAACAAAATATTATATCTTCTAAATGGTCATAGGTCATAGGCTTGTGGGCTGAGTCGTAGACAACTCTCTTCTTTCTCTCCTTCACCATCTGACACACTCTTCTTTTATCTCTTGTGCCTCTCTTCTTCCCTCTCTCTCTGACAGAGGTGTGTGGTCAGGGCAATCAAGGCAAGCAGTGCTTGAATAATAAAATCTAAAATCATTATGTGTCACATTATGATGTGTATCATTAAATAGTTTCAAATTATTTTCAATTAATCCCATTTTTCCCTTCACTTCTGTCTGTTTGAAAAGTGATGCAGTATGTGTGCCCTTTACTGCCCTCTTCTGGTCACTGAGCAAACTGCAACAACTGCAGTTCTGAATGTCCCATTAACTTGTGCAGTTTTGCTTTTTTACGGAGGCCTGGAGGCACATGTAGAGAGCCCGGCTTATACTTCCATGCTTTTTACACACGCTCTTACAAACTGCAGGTTGTTTTAGAGTTTTGCCAAGGTGTACTGAGAACCACAGCCACCTCAAACTGCACTGAATAAAACCATCTGTGATATGTGGTGATTCCACATGAGCACACGTGCGACAGGAGATGACAACAGCACTAACTTTCAACACAAGTGTCTAAAATAACTCTTTTAGTGACAAGTCTTTGTTTGTAGCTTCACATTTGTAAATATCAGATGTTAGTTAGAAATACTAGAAATACAGGCCGTCATTTAAGGAAACAGTGAGCTGGTTTCAGGGCGAGTTTGTGTGAAATGGAGGATCTGATGGAGCAGTGAAGTGAGCGGCTGCTGCAGCCAGGACTCCACCTCATCTGTGTGTTGATGAAGGAGCGGCGACAGTGTCAGTGGAATAACAGCACTATTACACACGTGTGGAGGAACATGTGTGTGCTCTGGACCTGCTCTGCTGTTAGTATCTCTTCATAATCTTCATGATGTTCATGTTGTGTAGTGCATCACACATGTGTACACTGTCATAAGTCATTCTTATGGTTTCTAGATGCAGAATAATTACATAGACAACAAGAGTCCTGAAGGCTCAGCTGCATAAATAAGGTGTAGGAGTAGAACAAATGTGTGAAGAAACAAATGTCCCTGTTTGTACAAAGATAGTGTCAAATACAGACCAATATAGAAATATTAATGAACTATGTATGTCTCTGTCTGTCTACTGTGTCTCTGTACTGTTTTCTGGATTAGTTTATATGTATGTATTTAATATGTCAGTAAGAGAACTGCTCATTTGCAGTGTAGTTTACATAAAAAGTGGTGTTATTAAATTGTTATTGACTTAATGTTCTCTCCAAGTCTGCTTGCCTATCTTACTCTTATTTTGTCTCCTCTTCCTTCTCTCTCTCTTCTTCCTTTTTTCTCTCTTCGTCCTTCTCTTACTCCTCTTCTCTCTCTCCTCTTCCTTTTCTCTCATTTATCTTCTCTTCCCTCTCTCCTCTTCCTTCTCTCTTTTCTCTCCTCTTCCCTCACTATCTGATGCCCTCTTTTTTTCTCTCTTCCCTCTCTCTTCTTCCTTCTCTTTTCTCTCCTCTTCCTCATACTTACTCATTCACTCCGTCTCTGCAGCGGCCTCCGTTCCGGCAGGGCTGATCCTGGCACTCGTCTGTGTTTATTTGGCAGCGATCGCCGTGGAAACCGAGCGGGCAGGTGCAGCTGAAGCCGTCCACGTCGTCATGGCAACGGCCGCCATTAAGACAGGGCCCTGAGTGACAGGCGTCTACGTGGAGCTCACACGAGAGGCCTGTGTGAAAGCAGCAGGAGGAGGTCAGGATCCAGGCCAGAGGAGCTTTCATGTTCATGAGCTCAGTGACTCTGAGAGGCTTTTATCATCTAGCTTCTGACAAAAGTGCACAAAAAAAAAAAAAAAAAAAACTCAAAACAAAATAAAAGTGCAAAAATAATCTAACATCGATCAAATAAATGCAGTAGAGCCCAGGGTTTCTCTCTTTTTACACTCAAGATTATATTTGGTTTTGGTCAAGATCTAAACCAGGTCTATAACTGGATTATTCCAGCTCTGCTTCTTGTCATATGTAACATTTTTCTTATTCAAAATGAATTGATAATATTGCTTTAAATTGTTAATCACTATGGCAACACTCTCATCATCCTGAAACCAGTGGATAGGGCGGTCCAAAGTCTCTCATGAGTGTCTACAGTATTTTTATTTATTATCCTTAATTAAATACAGACATTGGAATTAAAACAATAGTTATTAAAATACAAAATTCTAACCAAGTAATAATTAACCAACAAATTATTCAATGGAAAAACAAAAAGTGGATCTAAGTCAAGCAAATATAACATCATCTATCACATACCACACAGCTCGCGTACCACAGTTTGAGAAACAATTAAATATGTCGTTCCTAAAGTCCAACAAAAAAAGACAGTATATATTTCTCCCACAAGCTGTGACATAGACAGTGACATGCACAGGAGTCACTTTTTTCTGTATTTGATTTCAAATTCTAGAACGGAAAGTGAAAATAAAGTCATGCTTTATGCTTTACTTTGCTGTTGTGTGGTATTTACTGCAAATGTTTGATTGTTTTATAAGACTTTACAGAATTAAACCAGGTCTAAACCAGGTCTCAAGCAGAGTCTCACCTGTAAACCCTGGAGCACACACACATTCATAGGTCCCCACTCGGTCCACACAGGTGCCTCCGTTGGCGCAGGGTTCAGACACACACTCGTTCACGTTTATCTGACACTGAGCTCCCTGGAATCCCGGGACACAGAAACAGGCGAAGCTCCGCCCCCGAACTCTGCACAGGGCTCGGTTCTGACACGGGTTTGGGGAGCAGGGGTCCAACTCAGACGGCAGCAGGTCAGAGAACACACCTGTAAAAGAAAACAGAGATGAAGTACTATTGTACTATTCTCCAAGCTTTCACCACCACAGAAGATGTTTGGTCCTACGAGTGCCACCAGATCTAAACCAGGTCTAAAACAGGACTGCACCATGTTTATACTACAGTAGTGTAGTTTGTACTGCACAGGGATCTGTGCACCACCCAAGGTCTGCATGAACCATCCAGTCCTCTTTTTTCTGCAGCTTTATCCGGGGTCAT